TCTTCTAAAGGACTTTTTAATTTCAACATTTAACCTCCCTTTAATTTGTTTTTAAGCAGATCTTTAAATTTCAAAAATATTCCAAAGTAAAATTAATGATACATTAAATTTTGTCTTTAGAGGTTTTTTCGGAATCTGATAAATTGACCAAATGGTACCATGGATGAAATGTCCCTAATATATAATATGATGGTTATATAGTATTTTTAACGAGAAAAAAATATATTAGTCCGCGACAATAAGTGTTCGCGGAAGTTCCACGTTTGTAGACACGTGACACACGCACACTAATGGCCAAATTTAATGTTCAAGCCACAGTTTATAATTTATATTTATTGTAAAATATAAAATTACAAGTTTTGACGTACTTAGTCTTTATATTTTTTATATTTAACTCCTTAAAGACGACTGTTTGCAAACAGTGTCAGACTCAAGATTTTACATAAGAATTAAAGGGGGGGGGAGGTACAATTTTTTTTCAATTAAATTTAGCCATTGTTTGAAATCCCCTTTAATTAGGATGTATTTTGCTTAAGATTTAATTTTTATTATTATTAGTAATTAAAGTTTATTTTCAAAATAGTCTAGGATATTTAACGAATATTGAAAATCAAATAAAAGAAAACCAGAAAGAAATTATCATAAAACGTCAAAAAATTGACGAAGAAAATATGAGTATAAAAAAACTAGAAAATCTCTGTGTCGATAAAAACAAAACTATACTGAATGCACAAATTGAAATTGAAAAAAAACGATCACAGTTAGAAGTAAGTATATTTTAAAAGTTTTACTGTATATGTATTTAATTAATGATCAAGTTTATAAAATATTACTATATTTTTAAAGATTAAATATTTTATATTTTTTATATCTACCTTCAATGGCTATTTTCATGGTTTATGAAAACTTTAAATATTTAAATCAGAGGCCCAATCGAGATTTGTGTGTGTGCCTGGGGGAGAGGTCTAAACAAGAAATTTATTTTTATTACATTTTCTTTTTATTTACGCGCATTTAAAAACCAATTAGAGATTGTCATACCTAATACTTAAAAATTATTATTTATTTTCTATAACAAAAATGTTAAGTTGAAATTTGTATTATCAAAGTTGGAGGAGAGTGCTAGATTTTGAGTCTCCTTTTCGATTTGTTACTTTTTAGTAAAACTACTAACTACTAACTACTTACTTATATAAATATAATACAGCTATTTTAGGTATATAATTAAATAATTTAGTCTAAGATATACTAATTATTTTGTACTATGAAACCATGGAAGTATGAAAGTTTGTTTAAAGGGCAGATTACTGGTAAACTAAAGGTATAAATATAACATAATAAATACATAGCCACACTATATCCATTATAGCCTTATTTACATTTGAAATACCAAATGTTTATTCATTCGTTGTCGAATTCCTACATTTTGTAACATTTTAAAAGACAGTAATCGGAAAAATGGTTCAAAAAATAGACTTTTATTATTTTATACCTATTATAAAATTATACATTTATTATTGTAAATTAAAATACAAATTATTTTTAAAAGTTGAATTTATCTTTAAATTGATTTTAGAATATTGAATTAAAATACAAAAAAGAAACAAAAGAATTAGAAAATATAAGATTGGAACAGCAAAAAAAACAAACCAATTTAAAAATAATGAATTCCATTATGAATTATCATAACGAAGAAATTAAACAAAAAATTCAATTTTACAATAACAATATCATCCAACCTCTTGAACTTAAGTAATTATTATTTATTTTTAAATAATATTAACTTAGAACCATAAAATTTCCCCTCCAATATTCTTTAAACCTTATGCATTACTTCAGTTAGTATAATTGGTGAGCGTTTTTTCAACTTATACAGAGATTACATAATATTATATTATTGTATGGTTATAAGTTATAACTTATAGAGGTGTAGCGGCGGCTCGTGGTGTTCAAAACGGGCGGTGTGCAATTATTGCAAAAGTTTATTAAAAAAAAATATCTAAAATATTATTATAGTATACCTACAATATGTATTGAAATATTTATACAAAATTAAAAAAAATAATTTATATACCTACGAATATAATACCTAATAATATGCGTATATTGTAACCTATTATGAATTGCATTAATTAATAAAATAAAAAAAAAAATTAAACATTTTTATACATTTTTAATAACCGATATGGAACGCTGTGGCTACTCGATGTCGTCAACTCCCACTCAATGGCCTAACAAATTTACACAGACTAATGGCGTTGTGTTCTGACTGAGCTGCATACCAAATGATTTGTACTTATTACATAACTTTAATAAATTGTAGGAGTAATATTTTCGGGTATAAAAGCGAACATAATTTATTTTTAAATTTAAACAATATTATACAATCAATTATTATAGTTAAACTTAAATTGTATAAAAATTGTGTAAAAAATTAAAAATCCATTTCTATTATTTTATTATTTTTATTTGTATTAATTAATGTGGTGAGCGTACACTTGCACACCTAGGCGCCACTGTTAAGTGTATGAATAGTATTAATTTATTAATTTTGAATTAATTTAATATTACACTTAAATACAATATAATTGTACTTGGTAAGTTATCATACAAATTAGATATAAATACATTAGTATAGGCATTAGTATTACTTACAACTTACTTGGGAATAACTGCTGTACATCTTATACGAGTATATACAAAATACAAATGTTGATCATTTATTACTTTATAGTTTCTATGATTTGGTATTTTTCACAAGCTGATTGTGGGATGTGTGGATGCTCCTTTCTTCTTTCTTTAATACATTTTAAAATTCCCTTTCACTGATCTAGGTCTAATTCTTCCTTTATTGTCCTATTCCACAACAGCAACTATGGTTGAAATAATCCAATACATTGTATGATGTGTATGGCTAACGAGCAGTGAGCACCTAAACTTTAATTAAGTTTTTTTATATAGTACTTTAATCTGTGTATTACCATTTTTAATTTTTATAATTATCATTTGTTGATTTGATCCATATAATTGCTTGTTTAGTTTAATTACTATGTCTTATACCTATTGTTCAATTTTTTTTTATTTCTATAGATTGTATTATTCTATTGGGCTCTGAGCCCGTTAATAATTATAAATAAATGATTTAAATAAAATATAATGTAAGCACCGAGTATACTATTTTTACTTAAAATATACGATCTACTATCGACTTAATAACATAAATACTTAAAAAGGAATGTATAGTACAATATTAATTATATTGTGTATAAATTAGAAACAATTGAAAATTATTTGCAGATTAATTATTGTTTAATTATTAATCGAGTTAAACATAAAAATATGACGTTATGAATATATTTAAATTAAAAGTATTAGAATATTTAAAAAAAAATTGTAAAATTTATGTTGTGATACTTGTGAAATCTCAGTTTTTTAAAAATAATTTTATAAGTATAATAAAAATTATTATTTTATATTACATGCAGATTAGAAAAATGTATTTCACTCGTCGAATATGAAAAAAATAGAAATGATAATATAAACATCACTAGTATAGTAGAGTTTGTTCCGGAGTTTAAAGAAACAATTGCGAATTCTAAATTACAAATCGAAAATCTAGATGTTAGTCAATAATAAATTAAACATTGCAGTTCTCCTTTAACTTGTAAATCTAAAATTCTTAATTTTTATTTAGAAAACTTTAAGTGTGCAGTATGGAAAAATGACAAAACTTGAAGAAGATTATAAAAACATTCAATTGAATATTTTACGCCAAGTGGAAATGTCTTCAATTAAAACAGAAAAATTCATTGATATTTTTGATGGTATTTTGAACTATAGGTCAGTCGTCAGTGTATATTTTTGTACTTACATAATATTATAACTTATATTAGTGGATATCTCTTTAAAATAATTTTTCACACTAAATTAATTATTATAAAAATTAATTTAGGATGAAAATGATGAATATTGTTGAAATGAGAGAAAAAAATTTAATTTTAGATAGTAAGGTATTTCAAAAACAGTACGAAATAAAAAAAAAAAGAGAAGAATGTTTAGAAAAAGAAAACGATTTGATGTCACAGTTAGATAAATTAAAACAATTGGTCCGTGAACAAGCAAAATATAATAAACGGTTGTCTCAGCAGTATGTTAAGCTGACAAACAAATGAAGTTATACTTAAATATTTATTTTTTTTTTACTAATGTTCGATCGCGGAACAGTTTTTTCGGTGATCAAATATATATATTTCGTCGGGACACCATAGGTGTGGCAAAAGATAAAAGTGTCCAGCAAGATAATGCTGTGTCCGACAAGCCCCCCCCCCCCATTGCAACAATAGGTTTATATATTTCTGAAAATCTAAGCATACCATCATGATTTTCAACCCACCTAGTCTCACACATTGAAGTTAATTTTGTCCATTTAGTTTCAGGAAGAAATTCTTTTATTTTATTTTTTAATAACTCAGTTCGTTTAGCCGATATTTTAATAAAATTTCCTACTGATTTTATTATTCCAATACAATTTCGAATATGGTGAATGTTTAACGAATGTGCACTACAGTGAACATAAAGTGCAGCGGGATGTACTTCTCTTATAACAGACTGTACTCCTTTAAAATTACCACTCATGACTGCGGCGCCATCATAGCCTTGGCCAAGTAAATAGTCACATTTTATACCAAGATTTTTTAACGTAACTAGAATTACTGTGGCCAAATTTTGACCAGTGGTAGAATTTACCGGTACAAATTGTAAGAAGTCTTCTTTCAATACATAATAATGGTTGATTTCATTTTTTTCAATATTTAAATTATTGTTTAAATAATAACGTACACACAATGACAGTTGTTCAACACGTGATACGTCAGTTGTCTCGTCGACTAATACAGAAAAACATTTTGCCTGATTAATTTTGTTAACTAACTGGCCCTGTATAATTTTTCCACATATGTTTATAAAATTATTTTGAATCATAGGACTTATATATGAAGCATTTAACGCTTGATTCTCAATAATGCTCGGAAGTTACCATCATTGTAAGTAGGTTCAGAATTGTCTATAGAGAGAGGTCCGTAATCGCTAGTACCGCGTAAAGCTATTTCTTGACGCCCACAAATAATAATTGTTTGAATAATAGGAATTAATCTCTTTCTATTTTGATCAATTTGAATAGCACGCGCTGAATCTAATTTTTGAATAATATTTTGACAGTTTTTGAAATAAACAGCTACAAAATTATCTGCGCGCATAGCATTAGATTTGTGAAATTCAGTTTTACTATGTTCATTAAATTTCTCAATCGCTTTTTTCCAGTTATTAAAAGGCTTTACAACTAATGTATTAAGTTTCTGATGACTGCCTTTGCCACCGAATTCGCGACCAAATATCGCACAATATTTACAAACTGCACCTTGTTCACCAATTCTCGAATAAACAACCCAAGGAAAACGCTTAGTCCATCCTAATTGAAACTTTAAATTTTTTTTTAAATTTGTAGTTATTGGAAATTTGTAATTTTCATCTGGTGACCAATGATCAGTTAATAATTTAAATTTTATTTCATCACATACATTTTTACCTAAACAGTAGCCAATATCGTTGTCTTCAACTATTTGCTCCGCGTCCGATTTTAATATATTATTTTCGTTTGTTTGCAAATATGTGGGTGAATGACTACATGATGGCTCTGGCGTGTCTATTTGTGGTAGAAGAATAGGAACATTATCAGTCTAAAATAAAGTTTATGAATTAACATTTTGGTAGTTAAATTATTAATATACATAACATAATATGAAATAATATAACGTACCTTTGGAAGTTTAGAAAAATAATTTGACAGTACATTTTTGTTTTCTCGTTTACTCATTATGATGAATTTAGAAAAAGATTCGACGTGTTTGTCACAGTCTTGCAGACGGCAAAATGGTATAATAAATAATAATATAATTATAATTTACACAAATCTAATATTGTTGTTGTTAATCGTCGCTGATCCCCGACCGGCATCGACAGCGGACGTTGTCCATCAATAATAAGCAATCTATTATTAGCATAGACGTCAGATTTCTATGTAATACGTGCGTTGGTATAGAAGTCTGTGATTATTATTATTAGACACTATAATATTTTCTGTTTTCATATGATATTATGATATAAAACTAAAAACAGTCAATGATTAATTAAAGCTTAGTCATTTTTGACTAAAAATATTTTTATATTGGTGTTAAAAATAACTAATTATTTTAAACATTTGTAAAAAAATATTGAAGAAATTTCGGGGGGGGGGGGGGGGGTGTCAAGACCCCTGGACCCCCCCAAGATACGGCCTTGAAATCTTTTTAGGGGCATAATAAAATTTTAACCAGATATTAATAATGAATCAATACGTATACGTGGCTAGAATATATGAAAGCAAATAATCATATAAAATCATTTAATGGATTTTTCACTGTACTGAAATTGTTCAGCCAAATACTAATTACAAGTTATTGTTTTCTAAATTAACAATAGTAAAATATAACTTAAGGCGTAGTATACTCCGTCTCAAAGTAGAATACACCGGGCGGCCGACCGGTTTTTGTTCGGTGCCGCGCATCTGCTGTAGATTTCACCGCATGTTGGGGGGGGGGATTCGGTCAACGAGCTTCCGGGGCCGATAGTTGCGATTCGCCAAACCGGTGTATTCTACTTTTGAGAGTACATATATACATCAAGAGCGACTTTATTATTAATGTTTACTGAACCAAAACCAACATCTAGTCTATTGACGAATTCAAAATAGTATGGGAAATAGGAGAATTAATTTATAATTTTTTAATTAAAATTATTACATATTACTTAAGTTTTATAATTTAATATTATGTATATACAATTTTTTATTCATTAAGCCAAATTTTTTTTTAATTTTGGGTATTGTGTTTTCTTCTTTTTATGCATAATTATATTTTTATCATTTTATTTTTAACTTTAAAAATCTCTGTCCAGAAATTAGTACATTAATTTTGTGTGCACATACAACTTGATTCTATTGATTCTATTTATATAGTTTTTAATTTAAAATTAGAATGTACATTAATGAGTTTTTTTATTGACTGGAAATTGAAGTCTTCATATACCTATGACTATACGGATGTTATGGCAGTTATTTTTGGCTATATTGGAAATTTTTTTTATCTATAATGACTTACTTTATCGTAGGTATTATTACGACTAATAATTGCATCTCTGTGTTTCATCGTTAGTTTATTTTTATTTTATCATGTTCACGCCGTCGCCCCGAGTTGGACATAGTCGAATAAAAAATTATTCGATAGATTATTTGAGTAAAAAATTATTTTTTATTAATTTATTTTTTATTTAATTATTTTATTCATCATTTTAATTTTTACAATTATACATAATTCAATATTCAATGAGTTGTTTTAGGTGTTTTTTATTCATTATTTGGTTATTCATTGTTCATTATTGATTATTCAATTATTAGTTATTCATTATTCTTCATGGTCGTGTTAATCTTAAATAATTCGTAGATTATTGAAAATACTAACTCAATTGAAAATTGAAACCGGTGTGTTTCTTTTTTATTATTAAATTATTTGCTATCAAAAATGACAAAACCAAAAATCATAAATAACATTGTTATCTTTGAGGTGCTAATCTAAATGGTTTAGCATTTGATATCGATGTTTGGTTTTACTGCTTAAATAACATTTTTGTAATTAATTTAAAATAAAATCTAACAAAACTTGGATAGCCATATTAAATGTGCTGAAATTTTATTTAGTATAGTATCGTCATTTGATAACGACAACTCACTAAAATGCATTTCATTTTTCTTTAAGTGCGTAAAATGAATACAGTTATGGACAATTTGAGTATTACAAGTGGCAGTGACACTATTATAGTTTATAATGATGAAAGCGGGTCAAGTTCATCTCAAACTGTGCAATTATTGGAGGATTAGAGTCAAACTATTTCCCAAAATGAATAGTAATCATCAAAGTCGATCAAATTGGCCACTAATGCTACTATATTCGATGGAACTTTTTTAAAATTAATTTCTTCTGACCATAAAAATGTGATAGCAAGTTATGTTAAATGGCAGCCAATAAATGTAAACATTAAGGATCTAAATTTTCATCCTCAAATTATAAATCACATTTAAAGAGGAAGCACGACAGTTCTGTTTTAGATGAATATGAAAAGTAGGTATATTAATGACACACGAAAAAAAGAAAAAATTGAATATCCTAATAATACGAGCTGTAAAAATAAAACAAAATACTCTCAAAATCAACTGTCGAAGATGTAACTAATTGTTAGGGGTTGGATTTATATGTACATATTTTTACTGTGACTTGATAAATATATTTAGATAAGTGATAAATTCGTTTTAAGGGATTTCCAATAAAATTAACTATATTTTATTTTACATATTTTGCCATAAGTCCATGTTTTTATATATTTCTCAATAATTCCATTTTTTCCTACATATTTCGATAATTTATTCATTTATGATTTATTAATAGCTATCAAAAGTATTCTCTGAAATAGACGTTCTCCTAAATTTTTATTGAATGTAGAACTTACATTTTCAGACATATTCAAAATGCAATACTGTCCAATAACATTAGTAGAAGTCGAAGGATTATTTAGTTGTTATAAAGCAGTTTTACGACCAAATCGAAGGTCTTATGAATTTAAAAATACGTGTGATCATAAATATAATCAAGATAATTATTTTTTTTAATTTTCTTAATAATTTTACTATTTAAAATATAATTTATTTCAATAGTAACTCATATGAATATATTAAATAATTAAATATTAATAAATAAATCATATTAGTAAAATACATATTTTGAGTGTTTTAGCACATATTTATATGTACATATTTTGGTTTCATAAATACATATAAATCCTAGCCCTACTAATTATATTATTCATTCAATGGCACCTCTCAATACAGTAGAAAATCCATTTTTTAAAGAAATATTTATTGCATCTGGAATTCTTAAAAATAATAGTTTAACTTTAATGAGTCGCCGAAAGCTTAGTAGAAAAATCGAAACTAGTTTTAACACAAGCATTGAAAAATTAAAAAGTGCATTAGAAAAGGTAAACTATTTATGCACAACAGCTAATGTGTGATCTGCAAAAAGAAGAAGTTTTATAGGTGTAACCATTCGCTGCAGGATAATTGATGAAGACTTGTTAGAGCGAAAATCAGCTAGCCTTACGTGTCGTCGTTTTTAAGGTGCTCATACAGACGATGGAATCGCAAAAATATTACGTAATATATATTACAAGTACAATTTGGACGTAACTAAAGTAAATAGTATATTATATAGAATATATAGATTGTACTTTTAATAGTTTAAGGACTGTTGTATACGAGCAATACTTTAAGGTATGAATTATTTATATAGAACTTTTCTATATTTGTTTAGGTAATAGCAACGGTTACAGATAATGGCAGTAATATGGTTAAAGAATTTGATATATTTAGTGTAAAAATGACATATTTTAGAAAATTGAGCGATAGGAATGATTCTGACAAAAGCGATAGCGATTCAAGTGTTAATAATTTTCAAAGTGAAGATTATAGAAAATGAACCTAACATTATTATTTCTAGACATATTCGATGTTGTGCTCATACACTGAGCGTTTGTGCCATCAGTGATGTAATGAAAACCATCAAATCATCAACACATCTCCACGAAATGCATATTAAAGTCATGCAAAAGTATTATACATCATGGAATGCGGCAAGTCGACCAAAATCAGCAGAAATAATTCAGTCAATTTTAGGACATACCTGGTGAGACAAGATGGAATTCACTATTTGACTCGTTAACTCAAAAAAGAAAAATCTAGTGAACTTACTAGAGCACTTAATTTAAAGCAGTGTTCATTTACTGTTCTTTGTACATTATCAAGTATTTCATATGTAATTTTACGTACTTAATTCATTTCGTATTTTTTCCTTATACTCCAAATTACTATTTAATATTATTGCTTCATCACAACAGTTGTTCACATTTAGAATAATTTCTTAAATCGGTCAAATTTTTTTTTTAAATTTTAAATTTCAAAAATGCAAGATTTTATATTAGAAAGAGATTTTTATTGAAAAAAATTAAATACATGATCTGTGTATAAAAAAAATTTGCTAAACAAAATTAAGAAATATACGAAGTTTGCATCATTAAACTTGTCATAAAGGCCAGATGCTGTACAAACGGATATAGGGTACCAACTTGGCTCTTCAATTACACGTGAAACAGCATTTTTTAGTTCTAAAAAGTGTTTTTTTTTTTTATTGTAAAAGTAGCTCTAGAATGATAATTCCACCTATTGTCAGATTGTTTTGGAAGTTTAAAACCTTGTTCTCTTAATAATTCACTACTTTTAGTAGACCGATTTTATTGTCTTAGCCCCGTGGTGTAACATACTAAATTTAACTGATGTGCGCAACAATGATACAAATAATGTATTTGGATATATTTGCTTTACACGAAATTGTACACCATTTTTTTCTCCCGATATAACCAATGTACCATCATATAGGTCTGACATAATTTTATTTCCGATTTCCCATTTATTAATTTCAGATAAAATTATATCTACTAATCCAGAGGCTGTTTTATTTTTAGAAACGTCAAAAAATCCAATAAATCGTTCTACAATATTTTGTTCGACAACATACCGAAAAATTATACTCATTTGAGATTGGCACGATATATCAATCGTTTTATCGGCTTAAATTTTAAACAGAAGTAACGCACTCAATCAAATCATTTCGTATCAGCTTAGATATGTACCTTTAAAAATTACCGATGACAATAGTGCTTTTTAAGTAATTGCTCTTCTTGAGCCTGTAAATCAAGTAATTCAAGATAATTACCCTTATTCAAAGATTCATTATTTTTCCGATGGCCACGAAAAGCAAGTTCTTGTTTACCCAAAAAACAAACTACATGTATCATACGTGCTATTAAATGTAGTTTATTTATACCGATTTGTTTTTTATGTTTTACAGCAGCAAGTCGTCGACTTTCTGAAATCGCGTTTTCAATTCGGACTTTACCCAACGAATGGGATTTTTCTTGATTAATTAAATGTTTTGGGAAATAGCATGTTTATCTGATCTTTTAAAAAAAATTTTTATTGATGACAATCCATTAATACACTCCATTCCTCTTCCCGTCCGAATATTACGCAAATAAACAGAACATTTTATTTCTTTTATCACAACTAGTGAGCCATGGGAATTTATTGTAACAACAGTATTGAAATTTTCTAATATATTTACCGTCTTGACATGTTAAGAGTAAATGAGGAGTTGGGCGATTATGTTTTATTTGATTTTTTTTGGTTTATATGTTAAAGCATTAAAATCACTGGTTAATAAAAAATCAATTATTTGGTCTTTTTGCATTTTATATTAAAATTTTAAGAATAATAAATAGCACTAAATACTAGTTATAAATTTTAGATTTTGTGACCTTCAATTTATTTATAATAATAAACAAAGAAAACGATATAATTTTAAATACAAATTCCGCTCCTACTAATTGATCGCGGTTAGCGGGAACGACTCGCGGTTTTTGTTGGACGGGAGGAAGGTAGGGTTAGGTCACTCAAGCAAAATATACAGAAATATCAATTAATACAATACCGAACACCTGTGGCATTATATATATATTATACTAGTTGAATAACCTGGCTTCGCCCGTGTACAGTTTTTTGTGTAACCTACTATAACTTTTTTCTTTTTTTTTTATTGAACTTAAAAACATCAAAAAATATAAAAATTGGTTAATGAAAACGAATTGAAATGTTTGCGTAAACAGCAATAAACAATGAATACAGAACATTAAATAATATGTGCGAAAAAACCTGTTCGGCGTATACCGTCCGGCAGATCATAACACGTCCTCGGTGAGCGCAGTATAATATTGTATAATATAGTATATAGATAGATTAGGTGTATAATAGGTTTTTTATTAATGGACTAAATCTCGTGTGATGTCCTCTTTAACCACGACGATTTAGTAAGTAGTTTCGGAGTTTATCCTGAACAAAAAAAAAGCGACTTAATTTTATATAGTAGTATAGATACAGATTAATACGAATATTTGGTATATATGTTGTTGGTGTGCGTACGATAAACTTTTCGGAACAATTCATAACTAAACGCCGACATCAAACACAATACAATTTGACGAACAAAAAGGTCAGGTTGCAGGTAGCCGTAAACCCGCGGGCTGCCGTGCTGCACAATACGTATATAATATAATTATTTAATTTTCCATTTTTACTCTTTTAACCCCTTTAATGGTTGAATTTCAAAAAATCCTTTCTTAGTGAGTGTCTACATCACAAAACAAAACTACTGTCCAAATTTCATACTCATAGCTTCAGCGGTTCTGGCTAGGCGATGATGAATCACCCAGGATAAGTCATTTTATATATAAAAAAAGAAGAATATAGAAAACAGAGCAAATATAAACTTCTCTAAAATTTTGTAAATTCCCCTAAAAACATTTTGCTACCGTATAAACTTACGTAAAAATCCCTAAAAAAATTTAGAACCATTTAGCGTAACCCAGAGGACACCACGTGGAGGCAGTTCTATCTAATTAATAATAATATCATTGTTAATATTAAGTCAATAAAATGCTTATTGATACTAAGGTGAGATATTTGTTAAAATAAAAATTAAAAATTATTTGATTTAATAATTTTTTTATTTAGTTTAACTAATATATTTTATCGAAATTTTATTAAAATAACTTAGAATTTTGCTAAATTTTTTCAAATACATTATTAATTTAACGTATATATAATTTGAATTTACAAAAATAAAATTATTTTAATAATAACGAAAATGATTTAATAATTTAATGATAATGAAAATATCAATTAATTAATAAAATTTAAATAATAATGAAAAAATCGAAATAAAAATGCAAAAATTTACGCAAGTGTAATACGGTAGCAAAACGTTTTTAGGGGAGTTTACTATTAGGGGAATTTACTATTTCATCTTTTAGGGGAGTTTACATTTGCCCAGAACACATTACTTATTAACTAAATATGCGGGCGCCCAAATCGATAGAAACAATCGCTTATATATATAATAACAAAAAAATAATAATAAATATAAATTACCCAACGAAACAAAACATACGTAATTCAGCTTCATAAAAATAAATGGTGCTAGTTTCGAACTAGCACTAAATAAATTGAGCTTTCTGAATAAATATCATAATAAATCAGCAGCAAATCTGTTCCCTCGAGGTGACTTGTAAGACGGCGGTGATGATTGGATTCACACCTAGTGATCACACGAGGTTTTTCTGTGGCACGTGTCACGTGCGGACGAACGAACGCGACGTGCGTGTCGTTCGACCGTTGGAAAAAGACAAAAAGCATATGTTAACTAACACAGCTTGTCGGCCGACACGAGCATCAACGGCCTGGTCTCGCCGTGTGTAGGAGGGGGAGCTTTCTGGGACTTTATATTATCAGTTCGTCACACTTATAAAGTCCCAGCAAAGCTTATTAGGCGGCAATTGTATCGCGTTCGAACAATATTTCTATACATTTTTATTTTTAATTAATTATTATTTATAAGTAGCTGGTTTTTATTAAAGTGAGACGTAGTATTAAAGTCTCCCCTGAGACTTATATATATATATATATATATATATATAAATATATATATACCACGTGATTAGTGGTGGACCGGTGCGTACCGTCATCCGTCCATTTCGGTCTGTTGCCGTGTCGCACTCATCGACGATAACCTGCGGTGGTACCTTTGACGTCGTGAGACATTTCTTTGAACTCCGTCGCGAGGAGTCTGTTTATACGCAGTCGATTAGAGCACCAACGCCGTTATCACTTTGTTGTTATATAAAAAAAAAAATGTTATCTTAAATAATATATCATCACTCATATCAATTATTATGATTATATATTTATATCCAAGTATATTATGCATAATTGTACAATGATTAATATAATTAAAATTGTCATTAGATAAAAATGGTAGTCAAGTTGTACTTAATAAAAAAAAAAAAAAAAAAAACAATAATAACAATAAATTTCATCGAAGTTAAATATGTTAAATATATTATCACTCATTATTATCCATTAAATTATAATTCATTATTTTATGCTAATTTATTACTAATTTATGGATTATGTAAAATACCTATATAAATTACCTATATAAATGTACTCGCTATTACATTATTATTTCGGTAACCACGCGAAGTAGTCGGAGTCTGATTGGATATCTATTATGGATGTCTCAGCAGATATTAAAATTGGCGACAACACCACGTCGATCACACCCAACGATATTAAAATTGGCGACAACACCACGTCGATCACACCCAACGATCGGCCGGTTGAAAAACAATCATATCAACTGGTTATTGTTTGGCGCAACGTTATACTGTGCTCGTTGGTCCATTTGGGCGCACTGTATGGCGTTTACTTGGCGTTTGTTTCTGCAAAACTCACTACGACTATTTTCGGTACGTTTACTTGTCAATAGCCTTAAGTAGTGAATAAATAAATAGCGTCTTATTGTTCTTGAATTCAGCAATCTGCTTGTATCAAATCACTGCAATTGGCGTTACCGCTGGATCACATAGACTTTGGTCGCATCGGGCGTTCAAAGCGACATGGCAATTGCGGCTTATCATTATTATACTCAATACAATAGCGTTTCAGGTATATTTTTGTGATTTTATTTTACGTGCATAAACATTATTTATGTGATCAGATTCACAAGTATTAATAATTAGTTATATTTATTATCGCTTGACGGGTTATTGCAGTATAATACTCGTATATCTTTGAGTATTTCTTGAGTATATTCTTTTTACGAATTACTATTTACTAAGACAATTAACAATACATTTAATATAGCATTTGTTCCAATGTTTCGATAAGCATTTAGGTATTATAATATAATATCAAAATAGCATCGTGTATAATATGTGCATAAAAAATGCGCCATTACGGAAGTCTAGTGGCCAATCGTGGCGGGTTTGTTGCAAGGTTAGACCTTAGTTTTTCGTGCGTTATAATATTTATTAAGTGATTTTAATTGGTCTAAAGCCAAGTTAGCGGTTCGCTAGTTTAAACCTCTGGATTTTATCGACGTTATATTTTCTATATTTTTCGAGTGTTCGTACAAATCCAAAAATAAATACCTCTTTTACCGCCATGTATAAAATTTTTTATCTGTAGGGTTCCTATGGTTTTGCCAAATTCGCCTGGCTAAATGTTTACGTCGAATAAGTGTAGATATGGAGTGTGGTAAGTTGCCAGGACTGTGTATGTTTTGTTGTACGGGATTAGAAAAACAGGTATGAGCGGCTTCTGTTATGACATTCGTCAGATGTTCAGCTGTTTGTTCTGCTATTTGTGTGGTAGGTATACTTGTTGGTGTCTTCAGATTTGATTGTACGTGGTTAGAAAATCTATTCCAGTCTGGTTTACCTTTTATTAATGAGTTGTTTGTACGGTGGAAAAGAAAGAGTGAATTTATTGTTATTTTTACAGGTATATGATCTGAGTCGAGTTCTCTGAGAGGTTCAAGTTCGCATACAAATGGGACAGATTTAATTATTAAAATATCTAATATATCGGGAAAATGGTTTACATCTGTTGGGAATTAAGTAGGTATATTTGGAGCTGATATTTAAAAAGGTGTGTTTGGTATGAGTGCTTGTAATTTAGAGCCATTTGGATTTGTAACACAGCATCCCCAGTTAGTGTGTTTAGAATTTAGATCTCTGGCAATTAACACTGAATTATCTAGGCTCATGACTTTTTCATAATTTGCGATAAGCATTTAGCGACTAGGAGGTTGATAAGCACTGACGAACGTTATATACTTATTGTTTATGTTAATGGAAATTGCTACGGCTTTTAGGTACATCAGGACGAGTGTAGGCAATCGTTGTTGTTTGATTTTGTTGCGTACTAGAATAGCCACTCCGCCCATGGCACGAGATTGTGTAATACGATCAGCACAATATATTTTGTAACCGGGAAGTTTAATTTTATCTGTAAGCGACAAACGAGTTTCGATAATGCATGCAATAGGGATGTTGTGATGATTTAGAAAAGCTAATAATGTATATCTTTGATTTTTTAGACCGTTGGCGTTCCAATTTAATAATATCGTATTATGGAGATCTATTTGTGTTTAAATTTAAGCTGTTTATGATAGCTGGCAGATTTACAATTATTTTCTGCATTAGTTGTGTAACAAATGTGTTAATTAGTGGTAAGAGAGTTTTCATAAAATCATTATTGTTATCTGCGTTTTTGGTTGATTTGCTATTATTATTACATGCAGAGGCGTATGTGTACTGTTTATTAGTGTTATATTTATTTAAATGTAGATTTTAAGTATTTTCGTTGGATTTTGTGTTTAAATAAATCCTGCTATGAATCGGATTTGTACTAGTTTTATTTTTATTTTTGTTTTTTGATTTCTTTATAAAAAGTACACCCTCTATAATTAGTCGGGTGATTACTTTCACAGTTAATGCATTTTGGAGGGGCTTCTGTTGGTTTCTGACATTGACTGTAATGATGGTCACCCGCACATTTGATACACCTTGGTGGTTAAAGACAGAACTTTTTGGTATGGAAAAATCTTTGACAGTTTGTACATTGTGGGATATCCTTGGAGGGTTTTCGTGGTTCTACTATTATTATACAATGTAGAAGTCTGTTTAAAGAAAATATTTCAGTAGATGATTTTGATAATAAAACTGCTACGATTGGTATTGTCGATTTGAATTGGTTTTGAAGGCGTGTGACTGAAGCGACTCAAAATTTAAGTTCTTGAAGTTCATTGTAAATAATGTAAATACAAGCTTCTGATATGTTTACAGGGAGATTTCTAATAACTACCAGCTGTTTATTTTCAGGAAGTTAGTATGTGTGGTATTCAATTTCGGTCTCATCGAAATGTTTAGTTGCAGTTCTATAGTCATCTATCGAGCTTAAATTAATTTTTAGAGCAGATTTTGTATTTACAATAGAGAAATTGTCAAATGTTATATTTGCTAAAGAAGTATGAAAGTTTTCGTAATCGGAAATATTATAAACATATTTAGGTGGAATTTTAAATCTGACCTGTGGTTGCTGAGTACTGATGTTTTCTGTAGTATTGTTCATTTCACCGGTGTCTTGGAGAGTTAGTAGTGGCGAGAATCTATTTTTACTAGTGTAAGGAGGTGTAAGAGCGGCACTGCTAGTTCCTTTCTATCAGGAAGGTTGAGGTTTTTAGGTGAAGTATTTTTAACGTTAGAATGCATTGAAATTAAATTTATAAATACACTCGATTACGGAGTAACGGAGTACTACAGACGACTTGACACTACGGTTACTGATAGCCAACTGCTTCTGAATGTGGAACATAACATCAGTAAATACACATAATAACACACGTGCAGATGATCATAATATACATAGTATACATACAATCCCAGGAGTACCTGTTACAAAAACGACAAAATTCCAATATATCCATTCGCAGATGGCCAATACTATTCCCGGCTATCCGCCGGAGCTTAACTGATTGTCACATCTTACAGAATTCAGTTTACGAGTGGGCCCGCGATCATAGACTACACCACAAGTACACAGACACGAACGCTGACCCGCACAATTCGAATAGAGGACTGTTCTTTTCGCACGTCGGTTGGTTATTGTGCCGAAAACATCCGGACGTTATCGAGAAGGGCCGCACCATTGACGTTAGCGATTTGTTGGCCGATCCGTTTGTGGCGTTCCAAAAAAAGTAACTGAATACACACAACTCTTTAATTATTTGCAGATTTTATTGAATAAAACTTCAAAAACCTATTTATGTATTATATTATAATAAACTGTAAAGGAGCTAATACAATTTTTACTCTTTCACGTGTATTTTTTTTTTAATATTATTTTTTAACGATTAGACGTTATGAATAATAATTTCATAAGTCCTATACGTCAATAATATTGTTAAAATGTTGAAAATAACATTATACTATAGGAATCAAATTCACAGTATTTTTGAGGATTACAATATTTGTAATATAGTATTTTATAAATTCTCATTCGTTCAGTATTCAGATAAAAATCATAATAATTTTTTTGCGCCGGAAAAATAAAAGCTTTAAGCTACCTATATATAATATATTTTATGTGATAGTTGTGAATACATTTGTGGCGGTCGATTTTATCAAATTGTAAATAATGTGATATTTGTGTTTTTAACACGCAGATACTTTTGGTTCCTGATAACGTGGGCGTGCTTCATTATACCCACACTTATACCAGTGTACTTTTGGGGAGAAACATGGAGAAATTCTTGGTACGTGGCAGTTTTGTTGAGGTACGTGCTCACACTCAACGGAATTTGGTTGATCAACAGCGCCGCGCATGCATGGGGAGGAAAACCATACGACAGGTAACAGCGAATTTGTGTACAATATACAGTATACAATAAGGTATAAAAGAAATGATTAATGAGTATAGCAATAAGATATTACGACAAGGGCGTATAACTGACAATAAAATAATAGAAAATTACGTAAATATTAAAAATAACTAGTTAATTATAATCGTCACAGTATGGGCGACAGGTTTGTCGTGATTCGATTTTCTGAGAGGCTTTATACATATTATAGTCTTGTAAAAAATTTTAAAAGTTATATAAATAGCTCACATATGGTTTTATGAATATACGTGAATAAATTATTCGACTGAGCGGGAAAGCAAGATGTATATATTTTATGCCATACCCACTCGTACTGCAGTTTCTCGATGTTTAAGTATCATACGTGAAATGCAGTATGTAATTGCTCGTTGTCATGATTTTAATTTAAAATCAGTTAAAGATCTTAATTCTTCTGATACGCGTTATACAAATACAAAAACGATCTTTACTTTAATCCATTTTTTTTACTCTTTCAAATTATTATTAAGAATATCATGTCTTACTCTCATATGTAGTCTCCGTCTTACAAACGAACATTTATAACACGGTCAATTTTCATTAAATAGAACTGATTTTGTAATTGCTAGCTTTAATATAAAAATAAATTAATCTATATCGTCGAATATAAAGGCGAAAAAATTTTTATTCGTTTTATACTAATAAAATTATGCCAATATTTTTGTTTTTGAATGAATAGAATTCATTTTTTGTTCACCTTCACATTTAAATACAATTACAATTATTGACATTTTGTTTTCGCGTGTTTGTGAAACATCAAACTCTATTGAATAAATAAAATAATAGTAATGATTATTTTCTTTGGACAAATCTTATTCGGAAATTGTATTTTTAAAGTTAAAACAATCCTGATCGTTTAAGAATAATACACGAGTCATAAATTATAACATAATATTATAATGTATAACTGTAGCGACGAGATGGTATAATAATTACTCGAGTACAAAAGTATTAAAAAAAAATATTTAAAAATGCATAAACATATTGTATAGTACGTATAGTTTTTTGATCAACTCCCTATTATACCGCAATAGACTGTTTCTTAAAACGTTTTATATTTGTGTTATGTACCTACTGCGCAGGTCCATTAAACCGACGCAGAACCTTGGAGTGGCCATCATGTCTGTGGGCGAGGGCTGGCACAACTACCATCACGTGTTTCCGCAGGATTACAAGGCGGCAGAACTTGGAAATTACAAATTTAATTTCACTACTGCGTTCATCGACCTGTTCGCTAAAATCAGATGGGCGTACGACCTAAAAACCGTGTCAACAGAGTTAGTGCATCAACGAGTCTTGCGTACCGGCCAGATTCAGTCCCGGAAAGATCCGGAGCCAATTTCAGAGGGCTGGGTCGAAAAATACTTTCTTTGGTTGCACTGCATCATAAAGAGAATTTTGTCATGAATTAATATATTTCAATGATCGTAAACAGCTGTATAAAAGTAGATAATATGCATAAAATAAATATTTCAAAGAATATTCTATAAAATCTAAAATTTAAGTAAAATATACAAAAAAAAAAAATATACATAGTAAAAAAAAAAAAAAAAAATGTTAAGTAATAAGAAAAATATGATAAAAAGATGTTTTTTTTTATATTTAGATGTAAAAAATAAAAATAAAAATAAAAATAAAATCGAATTAACTGATTCTATTTGTACTAAATGGATTTATGATTTCATAATTTTGTCTGCAATGAGCACGAGCTAAAGAAAAACATAATACAGTGGATTCCGCTTAATGTGGCCACCGGTTAATATGGGCATCCGCTTATTGTGGGCAAACATGTCTGGTCCCAATACAAATGTATATTAACAATGTCAAATAAAACCGCGTAATATGGACACTCGATTCGGTTTATGTGGGCAATTTTTTTTTATCATAGCGTTAGAATATACACATACGTAAGTATTTAAAAACGATTAATTTAATCGGGTTCCGTCGTATCTATGAGATTGTGTTTATCGAAAGTAATAAAAATCATTACCATTCAAATAAACAAATCTCGCCAAAGAGAGGCGAAAAAGTGCATTGATTTCTTGCAGAAGTTCTTCATGCAAGAGGGAAACGAAAATAGTCCGTCTGATAAACTTGAAGCGTGTGCCTATTTTGTCAACCAGATCCATACTAAACAGCTTAGACAACGAAAAATTACAACGTTTAGTATACCTTCTACATCCAAAGATTAATTTTATTTAATATATTATATGTATTTAGTTTTATTTATATATCTAGTAATTATTTAAAATTTTTTTCAATTATATGATAATACAAATATATTTTTTTATTATAATTTTTTTTTTTTTTTTTACTAATTTCGGTTTTTATGGGCAACCGCTTAATGTGGGCAAACAGGGCTGGTCCCAACGTGCCCACATTAAGCGGAATTCACTGTATTATGTAAATGTTATAACTTATAACTGTAGGGCAGAGGTCTTGTAGCATTTGCATATTTGTTTTGCATAGTCACAAAAATAGCAGAGTGCGAAATCAATATGTTTCATGCTTCCACAAAGCTAGTTTTGAAATTTTATTGTGCATATAAATTCATATTTTGCGTTTTTTTTTTTTTGGTTTTAGAGCATATTTCTTCCATTTAATACTTTTAGATGCATATTTTAAATAATTTATCATTTTATCGATATTTTTTGTCGACTTTTTATTTATTTATTTATACAACCAAAATAACGTTGGATTTAAATTATTTTAAATTTTGATCATATTATATTAACACAAGCTGACCCGGCAAACGTTGTTTTGCCATATAAATATCTAATGAATATTTTGGTATTAAAATAAAAAATAATTAAATTATTGTAAGTGAGAGGGAATGTTGTATTCTGGTATATGACTGAGATGAATGGAACACTGTGAATGATGACGGCCCATAAAAATAACAAAACACCAAATATCCTCACCGCCTATAAAGTAAATTTGTAAAAATGTATGTGGTTCGTTTGGCATTGGTAGCAATGAGCCCACTCTATAATAAACTTGGCCTTTGATTTTGAATTTTGAATTAAATTGTTGACCATTTGCAGCATTATCTTCTTCTTCTTAAAATATAAAAATCTTGTGTCACAAAGTTTGTTACCAAACTCCTCCGAAACGGCTGGACCGATTTTCATGAAATCTTTTGTGTATAATAAGTAGGTCTCAGTAAGTGATGTAAACTATTTTTCATACCCCTAGGTGTAAAGGGTGGCTCACCACAAATATTTATAACAACTGTTGGACATCGGCGATGGAAAATAAAAATAAAAATAAAAAATAAAATAAAATAATAAATAAAATATAAAAATAATAAATAAAATAATATACAATAGTTGTTGCCAGGGAACTTAGTGTAAAAATATTTTTTAATATTTAACATGTAAATTGTATATTTATATATTATTAGATTAGATTCCATCTTTTTTCATAATATTAAACGACCGCGTATTTATCGCATTTAACGAATTCATCAGAAACGACTCGACCGTTGAATGGGTCGGTCTAACACAATAAGCTTTCTCTCTTATTTATAAGAAAGGTTAATAATCACATACATGAACTTTAACTGTATCGATTTGTGTATTTTGTACAATGTCAGCAAGACGCAAGGGGTCTGATTTGGCCCGTCGAACGACCAAAAGTACAATCATGCGAGATAGAAGAGCACAAAGAAGAGACGTACAAATCCAACCGAATAATGAAAATTTACGTGTGAACATGGTGCGATTGCGTGAGGCACAAGCTGAACAAAATCTAAAAAGATGATTAGAAGTGCATCAATTCGTAGTTGACACACGCAGAGCAAATGACTGACAACGCCAACAAGTACATAGAGCATTTACATCCAATTCATTCCTTCGTCTAGCATTCGAGTATGGGCCAGTAAGGCAATAGATAGTAAGCAATAAATTTTTTTTTTTATTTAAATTTATTATAATAAGACATTCCTAGCCTATCTACATCTATGGATAAAAAAAAAAAAAAAATTCTTTGAAGCAATAATAGTAATAAGTTACAAAAGATGATAGGTACATAATTTATGTACATATTTCTTATTTATACATAGTTTATATTAAAATTTACATACTTATATCGTTTCTTAAAGAAATATAAAAAAAAAAAAATGTAATAATTAATAACAATCACTAGTTAGTAGTTATTTATTTTACCATCGTTGAAACATGTTTTCAGATCAAAAATATGTACTGGTAGAATTTACATTTTTTTTTTTTAGGTAAAATAAAACGTTTAGGTGGAACTTACAATCGCCTCTATCAACACTTGAGTTACAAAAACATCATAAATAAACAGGTTTTAGATCACGTGGAAAGAATTTAATAACGACCTTCGTTGTTTAAACCTCAAATCCGCAAAAACTATGAATTAACTGGTTTAAATATATACGATTATTGGTCGGGAACACTATTTTTTGAAAAAAAAAAAATAAACACTTTTAATAAAAATACTCCTGTGTCGTTCTTTTGTATCTCGCTGAATACCTCGACGACCACAGCAGACCAGGACTCTTTCGGACAGACCCAAGAAGCCTTGCACTGTTGTGTGGCAACGTTATATATTGTACAATTTTTGTTGCCTCAGCATATCTGCTTTGTAGGTCTAATCTACTTTAATTAAAATATCTTACTCACTAAAATTTAATCTTTCCTATATCATCAAAAAAAAAAAAAAAAACTAAATAACATTGACGACTGTTTACATTATATAACATTTTACAAAGTCTAAATCTTTAAATGATCAATTAGATCCCAAGTGATGTATAGACTGTAAAGATTGAAAAATATGTTTAAGATCTACAACACGTCTATCCTCTAATTTTTCCCATTCATCACCATATCACAACTCACCATTTTCATATTCTTTATTAAGAGTTACATATTTTGATGTGTTATTTTTACCATCATTACACTTTTCGCCACTTTCATAATGTATAAAAGGGGTTATAAATTCTGATGTAAATTTTTTTTTAAAATTATATGCCTGTATAATTTTATATTTGTTATATTCCAAGAAGTAGATATTGTTTGATTTTTATAATTTACCTATAACAGTTTATAATTTTAGAAAATGTTGAATAAATAATAATAAAGGTTATTCCTACTCGTAACGATTAGCGCATGCACAAAAAAAAAAAAAATCCTATGACAGTGGTTTGTGCGCGTAAAATACAATCACGACTGAGAGTGTCAGTATTTGAAGATTTCAGTGTAGCCGTGTAGTTAACATTAGGGTGGTATATATATATTCTTTTTAATTTAATCTGGCTACCCATGGAATTTGTTTAAAACCATAAAAAAATGAATTATGTAAAGTTTCGTAATAATTTGTGAATCTAATACTGTGACTCAAGAGAGTTGAACTTCAAAGAAAAGTGCTTATTCGATTTTTTTAATTTCCGTTTAAAATATTTAAGATAAGTAAAAAACTGCTAAAACAAAATATTTTTTGAATTAATTATCCTACAAGAATTTTAACGTATACTTTTTTACATTAAACTTTTTTCTTAATTATTGGCTTATAAAATGAGAAAAAAATCGTTTTTAGAATATAATTAATAGTAAGTTAAATGGGGTGCCATTTAAGTAATATTTTTACGTATATAATTTCAAAATATTTTTTTAAACATTTTTTTTTATTTATAATTAGTATTGAGTAATATTTGAATATATGTAATTAAAATTTACGTTAAACATCGTTCTTAAATACAGATAATATTTACAAATTGCTGCGCATAATTTAAAAATAAAAATTCCACATTTTATATTTAAAAAAGAAAAGAAAAGATTTTTTATAAATATTTAATTTCAGCTTTCGGGTACATGTTACACATCCTTCATTTTTTTTTTAATATCCTGAAAATAATGTAAATAATATAAAATAAATTTAATTTTTGATTATGTTACAATTTCAAAATTTTTTTCGTCATTCAGTGACAAATTCTATGGTAACTTCGGATAGTAAATTTTAATTATTCTATTTTTAAATTTGATGGCTAGTATACTGATAGTAGATTATGAATACTATTGATATTAAAATTACAGTAAGGATGTACATAATAATAATAATAATAAAAATATATTTCTCCACGATTTATAAATATAAAATACGATTATTACAAAAATAGCTATAATGGATTATATCCTAAGGCGGTAGTAGTGTGTTGATATTTTTAGTTAATATAGTATGTACATATATGTGATAAATAACAAAGTAATGAAAGTTTAGCAATCAGTGCTGGCGGTTAATATTAGTAGACTAATAATATATAAGTAGCTAAATAATTACATATGCAAGAAGTTTTAATTAATGATTATGTCTTATTATATTTAAATCAAGTATATATAAACGTTTTTTAAATGTTTAAATAAGGTAAATTTATGTATATTAAATTTATATTTAATAAAAAAATGTATAAATACAAAGTAATAACTGGATTTTATTTTTATATTAAAAGTTA